TATACTGCTGGCAAACGTGCAAACGTCCTCTTGCTTCGTTTAGAGTCATTTGAAACAGCTGTATGTAATTCTAACTGAAAACATACAAGCTTTTAAAAGAAAGGCGATGGGATCGTTTTCTATGTACGAAGTTGTGATATTCCCTTAAATACTAAAAGGATGTTTTATCTGCAGGAATCAAGCACTAACCATCATCACTTCCCGTCTTCCTTTGGGCGTGGATCAACAGAAGGATTCTGGTGGGCTTTTGTTACCATGACAACTGTTGGGTAGGACTGATTTATCATACAAGGCTACTTCAGGAGCCCATTGGTAATGGGCTCCTGGCTACGTTCAAATTTTCTTCAGGAAAGGACGTACATCAGCTATATCTCTTTTCTTAAATATTATCCTGTTATCTTGTAAGCTCCTCCTTCAAGGTATATTAAAGGTTTTTTTCCTACCACTGTAAGTCGAACTCTCCTAGGCTTCTCCTTTTAATCCTGGACTTCTGTTTTTTCTCTCGCTTCGGCTTACGAACTCAAACGGTTTTATGTCTGAGAATGGTGCGAAAGAAGCTTGAACTTGGATGATCGTCAGATGTTCAACATGCTTCACTACAATTCAACACCACCAGGGACAATGAATGTGTACCCTGAAATGTTTTCCTTACATCTTTAAGGTGGTTTATGGTCATCTTGTATACCTTCCTTATCCTGTCACATCCACGATCCCTTTCACTTTATTAGTGCTCCTCGTTAGCAGTCTGTCTACCACAGAAAAAAATGGCTTGCAAGTTTCCCCTAAATTAGCGAAACTTTTCATCAACCAAATAACAAAATGCCAAAACTATCATAACATAGTTGTCGTTTCTATAGTGCAATTTTGACCGTATTGTTTCAGGTACGGTGACAAAGTTCCACGGACCATGTACGGTCGACTTTTCTCCGTTGTTTGGATTTTAACCGGCGTCTGTCTTATTTCCATTTTCACTGCTGCTATCACCAGCGCCATCACTGTTTCGTCTGTTGACCCAGGCTGTAAAAGTACTCAAGGAAAACGCGTGAGTAATGTTTTTCTGCCTTTGCTCCAGCTTAAGATCATTTGGTTGATAGTTTCAGCTGCGGTTTTCTTAACCACGTACGCGTAGTGATTGGCGGGAGAAGAACAGCTTAAGGTACCCTTGTGATCAGTCAGTTACTTTCCGCGCCACTGTCCAAACCATCAGCATGTAATAACAACTCCAGTCGCAATTTTTAGGGTCGCCGGTTTGAGTCAGCGGAAATCATGTTGCTTCTTTAATAGTGGCTTTGTTCTTCTAGAGTGGTGAGGGGCACCGAGAGAACTGCGGGGGGGGGAGGGTAAGCAAATTACAAAAGTCCTTAGGTTGTCAGTTTTTTCTCTCTATTTCATTTTACAACATAGAGTCGAGCATATCACGTTTGAACATAGGACAGTATCCATCTTAGCTGCCAAATTACTTCCGTATAGTGTCCCCGACGATATATTTTTTTCTTCCTTCGAAGCTCGCAGCAATAAACGGATCAGATGCTGAAAAGGAGGCGAGACATCGTGGGGCTTATGTTACAAGTAAGAATAGCATTTTGCTTATTCCATCGGAAAAGTACGTTACCATTTTTCCATCAGAACTATTTTTTTGTATCGAACATGCATGAAAAAACGATAAATTATGCGAAATTCTATTCCT